AGTGGTCTACTACGGCCTCGGAAGTTTATAACTGCATACGTTCTCTCAAGCGCCACCGAGCTTCTGGTCTCAATGACTTTCTACCCGCATTGTTCAAAGATAGGGATGAAGTTTCAGTCAGCAATTGTCTAATGTGTTTGTTTGTATTTGGGAAAAGGAGACCGGCCCAAACAACGGGGGGAGGGTCGGCAAAAGTGTTTTCAAAAATGAGGCTCGTAGTGAGTGTTATGAGCCCAGTCATAACAAGGAGTTGGCGTCACCTGTGCTCTGTGGTCTTATGATGGCTCGGGAGCATCAAGCGGGATTCCAGCCTGGTAGGTGCTGCGTTGGCCAAATCTCTACACTCCGTCAGGTTATAGAACAATTCCATATGACCCACAAGTTTAGTATTCCTAGGTTTCCAAGGTGCATTCGACTCTGTTTTTCTTGACACGCTCGCTCATCATGGAATTGCCCGGAAGTTTGTGGACATAGTAAGTTCTTTGTATTCTCAGACGTCCGGACGTGTGAGATGCAGTAGTGATCAACATCATCATTCCTAGTTGTAAGAACCGCTTACTTGCCCTATAGTAATTTTAGCTGCCACAATTTCGTTCAATGATTTGGGGAGGTAGCTGCGCACTGGAGGCGGGATTTGATAAATTGGTGTGTAAATTCAGCACTGTCATGTGGATGGATTGGGAAGAGAGCTATGCTGACACGCATTGTTTGAGCTTTCCTGACTTGTTCGGCCCTTCTCGTGGTTGTGCGAAAAGAGCCCTTCGGTTAAGTCGATCGAATGGCGTACGGAGCACGCGGCCAAGCCGGCGCAACCTATGCATTGTGATCAGTTCATCTATCGTGGGTGCGTTATTTCTTCCGAAGACAAGTCGACTTCAGCATTGCTGATCCAGTGTCCCCAATAGACTCGGACAATGCTCCGAAGACATGGGTGGTCAAACGCCGAAAATCTTTTGACATCCTCGGTGCCCAGCGCCAGGTTTCTGACGGAGTGCACCACAGCAATGCAAACTCAACAGTTGACGGATAAGTTGATGTCACACCCGCGCCACAGATGACTCGGGTTCACAAAAGCCCCTCTGGCTTTCCCAATCCGGATGAAAATATCATCTTTCGCGAGACCACCGGGACTGATATAGCTGCTCAGGTAGACAAACTTTTCTGTAACTTGAATCTGCTGATCCGCAAGCATGAGGCTAAGGTCCCAGCCCACTCAGTCTTTGCAGTAGCACTTAACATTTTGCAGGTGTGAGGTGCATGCCAAACCGTGAAGCAGAATCATATAGATTGTTTAATGTTGTTTGCATCACCACGGCGTCAGATCGATATCTGTGACTAGACGTCCCGGGTGCACTTCGATTCCACAGGCATTAGAGGCTGATAGTGTCTTTCATAATCGTATCAATTACGAAGTTGAAAAGGAAGGGTGAAAGAGGACAGCCTTGCCTGCCACCACATGATATGATGAACACAGGCGAGAGCTTTCCATAAAATTCACACACGCGCGGGTTTTGGCGTACAACACCTTAAGGAGGAATATATGGGAATACATTTGCCCCACAGACACTAGTGCCCGACGATCCACAGAGTCAAAGGCAGCTTTCAGTTCAAAGTACATAACCAATGTCGGTTGCTGGAAGCAGTGTCGCTGTTCCATTATCTGTCAGAGGACGAAGATGTGATCGTTGCATTCTCTTGCAGTACGGAACCCAGCTTGGTTTTTAGAGATCTGTCTCACCCTGTGTTTAGTCAACCTTCGAAGGATAAGTGCAGAGAGCACCTTTGATGCCACAGCCATCGCATTAACGCCATGGTGGCTTTCACAGCTTCTGCGTACGCTTTTTGAAAATGGGGATGGCTGTCGACATACCCATTCTGTAGTTGATATAGACCAAGGCTGTTCCTGTTAGCAAGTCTTCTCCATCTCCTGAGGTTTCGTCATCCACCAGAGCTCTCGGCCTTTCCTTAGGCTCTTCACAATTTGGCGTTTGAGGAACTTGCATTTGCCGTCGTGCTTTTCTGTTGGTACCTGGCATCAAATATGGATAGTGGTCTCGACGACATCCGGTGATCTTGTGGTAGAATCGGGAGGCCGGACAAACAGCAGTGAACGCCGCTAGCATAGCCCATTTCACATTTTGATACGCTTCATTGACGTTCTCACTACCAGTACAGTATCGGTTTTCTGTGGAGAGTTGTAGGGTTAACTCAGATTGATACTATTGAGCTGCTGTTCGAAGATGGTTGATTGCGAGAGCCTGAGAAGCAATGAAGTGTCAGTTGTGCATGCTTCATGGCGTACTCGGAATCAAGTTGTATGCCCCAGAAGGAATGGCAGTTCTGAACTGTAGCTCTCCACCGGTGGCTGATAGCCATGTGACCCAACTGGGTCCACGGTTGATTTGCAGTTGTTGGCCTCCTGGTTACGTGATGCGAACATTTATGCTGAAAGTTCGTAATAGCGAGAAGCGGCTCACGATTAGCACGTAACATAGTCCCTCTCCATTTTCTGTGCGATGGGCATCTCCGAGTCGATCACCCAAATGTGATTCCAAAAAGCTCAGATGATAATTCCAAGTTGCTCAGGCCGAGAAACGGGGTTTGGTTGAGGTACCCCACCTTAAGCCAGTCAGAATTAGAAGTCTGACCCAGAAGACAGTGGAAGGATGTAGGACTTTGTTCGGGGACGCTGCCGCTAGCCCCCAACCCAAAAGTCTGAACTTCAAAACAGCGGTTCTTAGGGTTTTCATGGGGGACCTTGCCTGGAGTCAATAACTCAATAATCTGACCCTCTTAGCTACAGGGTGCCGGTCTGACCCGAGGACGCAGGGAGTAAGGCAGTACTCTCTCACTTCCAATGCAGCTGAGCACAGCAGGCGCCTTCTGAACAGCACCGGACTTTCTGGTTTTAAGAGTATTTTGACCGTATGGAATAATGCGCCGGGTGTCACGGTCAACCGTTGGATGTTCGGAGTGTGCGGTTTTTATGGCCGATCTTTCTAACCCGTCCTTCCTCAGGGGAAGGCTGGGTTAGCTGCTTCCATAAATATGAACATGCTGGACGCATGGGGGAAACGCCTTACAGCCGTCACACTCAAGAGTGTGAAGGACAGTACGACTTTACCCCCAGAGCGTCTTAAAGCACGATTATTCGTAGTACGTGGTTATCCCTGCTCTTGGTTTGCTTCCCTTTGGCCTTCCTGGGATGCTTGCAGCTTGTGGAACTGAGTATTAGCGGGTGTAGCCGCGGGACAATTGTAGCATTCAAGCCCGATCATCACTTCAACGTTACAGCTTTAGGTCAGGGATGAGGTACTGAGACGAACGTTGGAAGGTCTTCAAAATCCCGGTGTTCAGATGGCCTCTAGTACATCTTTGTACATCCGGAATATACAATCGACATCGCTGTTGTCTGCGAAAAGGAGAAGGCGTGGGTGTTTTTTGAATGAGCTGACCAAAGTCATCCCATTCTTTCGTATGCCCTTTGCAACCACAAAGTGTAAGGTCAGGAACCTGGACATGCAGTGACTGAACACGCTACTTACGGTCCAGGATGAGGCACTCGAAGTTGTGGAACGCTTTACCTCTCTTGGAATTTATATTAGTTCCTATTGTAATCTGACCCGTGAGGTCGGTGCATGAATCTGCATGACTCAGGTTGCGTTTGCTAATTTGAGGCAAGGCCTCAAAGCTTCAAGGCCTTAGTACACGCTGTTTTGTTGTGTGCTTGAGACCTAGACTGTTCGAGCAGTGGAACTGATAAGTCCTCAGGTCTTCGAAAACCGTTGTCTCAAAACCATAGCCCATGTGGATTGTTGTCCTCGAATCCGTAACGAGGTAATTAAAAACCAACTTTTTTGATTGCAGCTGGACCTCCGTTAAACAATGTCTCCAGCACGGGAAGCTGCGCTTCTTAGACCTCGTATCGCCCAACCACTGTTTGCCGAAGAGAGGCTGTTTTCCATGCCCAAAGCAGGAGCAGAGAGATGGCCAACCATCGATCTGTCAGAGGTGTATGTAAGATATTACGAAACGTTTGGGTGCTGTCGCTGCTACTCGCCTTCCAGGATGGTGACCGCCTGATCCCCTCTGCGTAGTTCGGTACGCGGAAAGGTATAGCGGCTGACAGTTGTCAGTTATTTTTAGCCAGATTACCTGAATGAATGTCTGAAGGCGTAGGCAATTCCGAATAATTTTCGTAGGTTAGCGTTAAATCCAATCCTCGTCCACTTTCATTCTCTTCACAATAAGACTTTCAAATAAATTGTTGTGCGGCATAAGAAACATCAGTGTTGAACATTGATGTTGCAGCTGGACCTCCGTTAAACAATGTCTCCAGCACGGGAAGCTGCGCTTCTTAGACCTCGTATCGCCCAACCACTGTTTGCCGAAGAGAGGCTGTTTTCCATGCCCAAAGCAGGAGCAGAGAGATGGCCAACCATCGATCTGTCAGAGGTGTATGTAAGATATTACGAAACGTTTGGGTGCTGTCGCTGCTACTCGCCTTCCAGGATGGTGACCGCCTGATCCCCTCTGCGTAGTTCGGTACGCGGAAAGGTATAGCGGCTGACAGTTGTCAGTTATTTTTAGCCAGATTACCTGAATGAATGTCTGAAGGCGTAGGCAATTCCGAATAATTTTCGTAGGTTAGCGTTAAATCCAATCCTCGTCCACTTTCATTCTCTTCACAATAAGACTTTCAAATAAATTGTTTGTGCGGCATAGAAACATCAGTGTTGAACATTGATGTTATGCTAACGATGGTGACGTTGACTGGTTTCAGCTTCCCCCTTTCTACTCTAATGAACCTTTTATGAAGGTCAGCTATACCCTCAATCCGCGTACGATATCTATCCGTCATCGACAACCAGCTGGCTTCCCACCCCTGTTTGCACGTATTGGGTTCAAACTTAATAACAAGAGTCATGATCGATTTATGATCCCTTTTCATATGGTTCCTTTTTTAAATACTTTCCCATGTTTTGCTTCAGTGTTAGTGGCTGGATTCGAAAGCACAGCACCAAAAAACTCAGTCTTTCTGATTTCCGGTGAAACATGTCCTCTCATCGCGACGCAGGTGGGTCTTCATCGCACGCTGGTGACTCCATTCACCCAGTTCAACGCGTTTTGGTAAGTCTTCGTTTGTGTGGTTATAGCGACGTGTTGCACGAAACTATTCTGCTGGAAAATCTTGTTGGATTATCAGTAGTATTGTGACTGGTGATTCTAGTTCCCTCTTCTCTCTGGGTGTATATTCTGTGCATGCAAACTCACAAGCCGGATGAACTGCGCACGCTCACCTGTTTACATGGTAAAAACCCCAGCAACTATCTCAACACATCGTTCAGCTGTGGTACGCATCCAGTATGTTTCTCGACATTTACTACACACCTTTCAATGAACAGGGCGTACATACTTATTGTAACCCTCTCTGTCTTAATTGAAAGTTGTTACTCCTCATTTGTTTTCGAAACCAAGGATTAACGTATTTGGATGAGTGCTTCATTGTGGCCTCTCATCAAAATGCACGCTGGGATGCCGTCCTGTCAGTTTTTTCACTGAAACCGTGGACTTGATGGCAAGTGAGCTTAAGCCGTGCTTTTTAGTGCAGAGGTTTTCGGGATAACCGAATCGGGATGTGTTTGACAACCAGTAATAACAATTCAGGGCCCTCAGACTTTCACAGGAGAAAACATGGAAATATTTTGTGCGCATTGACCTCGGAAACAGGTTTCCTCAGAGACACTGCGGTGACAGGTGGGCATTTTTATACACACTATGTATCACCCGTCGCCAGCGCCCTCCCATCCCGCCTTATCATCGCAAACTGACGTTAGTACGACTTTTCCTGACTGACCACCCCAGAAATGGTTTTCGGTATAGTGCCAGAACATAGCCTGAGTTGTGTGTTGTGCAGCACTTTGTATTCGCCAAATTGCTTTTATTGTGAGTTTCCATGGCTCAGTGGTTAGAGCGCGAATTTACTGATCGGAAAGTCTGTGGTTCGAACTTGACCTCTGCATCTCAACTTCTGTCAAGGCTTGGGCAACCTGGCAATATTCCAACCCTTGTGCTTCCTTCTTGTGGCATGGCAGCTAGGCACCGGACAGATGAACGATTATTACTATCCATGTGTACTTCTGTGCGAATATATTTTGTTACCTATCACTCCGGTTAATCTGACTGTCACATATCTTGGTAAGCAGCCTCCTCATTGCAGTTTTTCATATAGCTCACTACTTATAGTCGATATGAGTCATGCTGACTACGTTTTAAAATATCAGTGATGATTCCAGCAGTACATCTGTGAGTGCTTGGCGGGCTCTCCAGAAGCTTCCCTTCAAAAGTGGTGTCCGGCATGGGGAGCGAGATGGTCCAAGTGGTTAGAGCGCGAATTTACTGACCGGAAGGTCCATGGTTCGAATCTGACTTCCGCCTCTCGACTTTCCCTGTCTAGGCTTGGGCAACCTGGTAGCATCCCAGCCCTCGTGCTTCCTTCGGGTGGGATGGCAGCTAGGCACCGGAAGGGCGCTACAGCTGAACGCTTTTTTGTCCGGCATGAATTTCCACACACACTCTCATCGTTCAACTTCGCCGTTAATGGAACAATGTTGCTGGAAGGTTTCCAAAGCCTTCGTGTTTAGATGGTTGCTAGCGAGAACCTTTTGGATCTAGAGCATGCAGACGAAACTGTCTTTGTCTTTGAGGACAAAGGTCAAGCACAAGCTCCGCGGACTAAACTGATCCCATCATTCTATCTTTCGGCATGCGCTTTGTCCCTTCGGAATGCCCCAATTGCAATTCAAGCAGGACCCCTGGGGGTTGTTAAAAATTTCGCATACCTCGGTAGTTGTATTAGCTCTGAATAAAGTGTGTCTGATGGAGTTAGTGCACGAATCCCAAGGTCCGAATCACGTTTGCTAATTTGCGTCACGAATGCATGTGTCTCAAGGGTGGTACTTACTAAGCTACAATAAGAGCTGTATTGTTGTGTGGTTGCGAGACAGCCTCTGCAGATCGGCGATCTGAGGCCTCTTCAGGTTCTTGGTCACCGGCGTCTCAGAAGCGTTGCTGGTCTACTAGTCTACTAGTTTGTCAACTGTACCAAATGTCGCATGTCCCGACCACACCACAGTTTTCTACGCGAACTTCGCCCTAAGTATGAGCACCCCATGGAAACTTCCATATCCTCATACGTATCGGTATCCCTTCGGACCTTACACCAAGATCCTCATGGAAGCAGAATCTCCAAAAGCACCACCCGAACTTACGTAGTCCTGAAGGACAGGTATCTTTTAAGTTAATGTATTGCTGTTATGGCCCTAAGTTATTTCCGTTATTTGATGGTAGTTTTCTTCGGTTGCTCACTCGTGAAAATCATTTCTTTAGGGTTTCCTTAAGAAACTCAATGCTGTTTTTTATAGATTGGCTTTTCAATGCCTCTACAACTCCATCCCAACAGTCAATGGGTGTCACACGATGTCTATTTTTGGAGAAAATTTTCGCAGTTAGGTTTGGGTTGATGATGAATGTATATTAATCCGAGAATTTCGAGAATGCTTCCAATAGACGAATTACCGACTGCGGTATTACTGTTAACTGCATTGTCCGAAGCGGTCCAATTTATTGCTGCGAACCCACCGAGGCTTAGAGTTTTTAAGGGGTACATTCAGTAAGGTCTAAAGGTGTATCAGTTTCATCATTCACAGCTCCCAATTCACTGTGAAACTTTCTGTTTCACCTCAGTCGATGTATTGCTTCTGTTATTTCATATTCGTCTTCGCAGTGGAAGGCGGATTGCGGAGGAACGCAGTTTAAAGTCGATTACATCATAAGATAAAATTGAAATTCACCCTAATGGAGAATTAAGTGATAAAAAGTGAGCGATGATTTTATGCTGGAATCTTCTTTAAAACGCGGTGATTGTGATAATGTGTGATGTTCTCCATCTTCAAAAAAATTACTGTCCAAGACTCGAAGGCTTTTGGGTTTGCTGGAGAATCTGTCGATCAGATGGACCTTATCATTCGTTTTTTTAAGCATTTCGTTTGTGAAAACCACCAGCTAATCAGGTGGTCGTTACGTGTATGCAGTCCGTGGGCTTGGTTTGTTGACACTCAGGTAGCCTCTCTGAGAGTAAATGGCAAGGGAAGGAAAGCAGCTCGACTGATCAATGATCCTATTTATCTTCTTGGTACTCACGTCCTTGGTCCCTTCGTTCTCTGTGGCTTCATCAGAATCCTTCTGTGTTTCCATACGGTCTTTGAATAGTTGTATTAGCAAGCAAGAACTCGGAGATCAATACACCAAAGGCGTCTTGCCAACCAAGACTTCCCGAAGTCAGTTTGTAACTTTCTTACAAATGTAAATTTACCTATCCGTTTGCTGCGGACGGGGGACTTCGAATGAGTTTGTCGGTTGTGTCGCTGAACTGAGATCGTTGTCCATAACCCTGAAGAAGCCTAAAATGAGCAGTAGTGTACCTAAGCTTACTTGTTGATTGTTCAGTTACCTGAACTTTACCGACCATCTTTTAACTGATCCACACCGACCAAAGGATACCCTTGTCTTGCTTGAAGATTCCCATCTAAAGAAGGGCCACTACTGATTATGTTGAACATGTCATTCGTCGTTTACTTCATACAACACATTTCTCCCCACGATTGTTGCAGGTCTGTTTGTTGTCTAACAGCAGTTTGGTTATCATTCACCTCACTTCGACTGTCCACTAACCTCAAACCAACGTCTTCATGTTGTTCAGTGGTTCCGGTAGTTTTTACTCGAAGTTCGGTTCTCATCTAGCCGTGTTTTCGTGGTGTACAGTGTATGCATTCGTTGTCGATACCAGAATACGTGCCAAACGTTTCACTATTCACCATTTGTTTCCAGGCTCATCTACAGGCAGACTATGTCAGATCAGCATTGTACTTCACCCGAATTGGTACAATGTTTTGTTGTTTGGCCTTCCTGTTCAGTCCGTTTTTCTCGCGTGGTCCGCCGGCTGATCTAGATGTATGGTATCGTCGTGCATTGTTGGTTAGCGCTGCGGCCTGGGCTCTTCGTCTCCATCAGCGGCTGAAGTCCGGTAATGATAGTGGTGTGTCGCGGCCGCTTCGAGAAACCTTGCTCACCGAGGATGCCTTCCACTACCTCGCTTATTCAATACTATTTGCGTTTCTTACTCCTGTCTCGGGTATGTCTGCGTGTTGACGATTTGTTCATCCTCATTGACTGAGTGGAGTTTCTTTAACACGATCGTCTAATTTTGTGTTCACACTTCATTTCGTTTAGTTTGTCTAGCTTTCGCTGCCCTTATCTTTCATAACTGTGCTGTTATCCGTCTCAGCTCGTTGGACATGGTTTGTCACTTCCTAAACAGCAAATGACCTCTGGAGCTTAACCTGATATTAGCTGGTATTAGCTGAGCCCCGTAAGCTGAGACTATTGTGGTTCCTGCTAATTTGCTGACAAGTGGATGCTTGAACTACTGACACCGGTCGCCATAGCATAAGTCCTACAACAGCTTAGTAGACTGAATAACATTTTTGTCCCTGACACAGCTACTTTGCTTTTTCAAGGCTTTTGTCATCCTTCGTCCTGATTTTTCCCAGTCGTGAACTTTTGGCCTATCACTAGATAATAGATCCTAACTTTTAGAAGGTGATTAGGCCGATATTTGATGGAAATACTCATTTAGTCATTTGACTTCGGTTCGTTGGAGCAACAGATTGTCTCGGCAATGACTGAGGTTTCTGAGACCAGAAAGTCCTCTGGTTTTTAGATGTATAACCCCACGACGCATGTTTTGACGCATTTCCACTCTATCGTTCTCTTGTGGATTACTTTTAGTTGGGTTTTTTCTAGCCATTCATATGTTACCTTCGCCCGTTGTCCATTTTTCTCGTTTCAGTGTCTTTGGTACCAATCTTCCTGTTCGCTTTGCTCCATGTCAGCAACTTCACACAGACTTTACTGGATGTGAGTTTGTCGGTGGTTTTTCAATTATTGTTTACATAGCGTTGTTTGTTAAACCAAATCCACATGTCTAATATCATCCTGGATGACACAGTAAGGGCTATTTTCTATCGGACACTAAACATCTGATCGCTTCACTTCCTGCCAGCAATACCTATCAACACAAATCCAAATAGGCTATTGGGTGGCCCGTGGCTGGTCATCTGCTGAACGTAGTTCGGTGAGATCACCCTAATCACAATCAGAAGATTTGACCGTATCTATATGCATAAGAATTGTGGTCACCAACGCAGGTGATAGCGTTATTCTTCAGGTAGAGTTCATCTCACTCCAGCAGTTTCTCGCGTTCAGTTCAGAAAGGAGCAACAGTGTTGTGTCGTTTGTTTTTCTAACGTTTACTTCGTTTCCACTGGTTGAGCTGTCGGAATACTGTACTGCTTGTGTTATTTCGGATGGACTAATAGTTCATCTTCTGTCATTGATTTGCTCATCTATAGGATCTCATCTTTCTCGTTTTCTTAACAGTGTGGAAAAGGGAGGAGGGTTAGAAGAGTTAGGTGCGAAAAAGAGCAATTGCAGGAATGAAGCCAGCTGATTGAGGAAACCAGTGGCGCTAGGGCAGTTGCTACAATGCCCTTCCGATGTCGTCGACCAGACGTGTATAATCTAAGCTTGAGATTCTCAGCATGACCGTTTAGTTAGGCGCAGTACAAGCTGAAGAGTTCTCCACACCATCGTCAAAAGCATAACTCGAGTGTTCGATGCTTCACACCACTTGAAAATCCGCGAGACATTCAAACATCCGTTTTTGTTGCTGCCACATGATTTTATCATTCTTGTTTCAACTCGCGCACAAGACCACTTGACAACAGTATAAACCTGACATTTTTTGGCATTCTGTTGCTTCCCGTCAATTCCGCCGCCAAACATGTTCATCAAGGTAACTAAACAAGGTGTACGAATTGCACGACACTGTTTGTTTAGATAATTCTCGATTTGTTTGGTGAGCTGGATGATCTGACTCAAAACGCCAGCGAGGATTAAATCCGGATAGGGCTAAATCAGCCTACTGGAATAAAGGACAGCAGATGCGAATTGAGAAGACCGAACTTGAAGGTCTCCTGGTTGTCGACCAGTTAGAACACAAACTGGCTGACCAATCAACGGAACTACCAGTCGTAACTGTAAATTAGTCCTGGTTGTCCGTATGTGTAAACTCTGCAGACCACTACTGCGGATGTTGTGCTACACCCCTATCGCTAGTGAAACTCTTGAAACCGAATTGTCCAACTCAGAAGACACCATGCTTGATAATCGTTATTACTATGAACGTGAATACCTAGTCCCTACATATCCTACTTAAACTGGATCGGGGCGAGCAATGAAGAATATGAACACATTGACTTTGGACCAATCTCATTCGTTTCATCGTCTCGGTCCTCGCACTTTCTACGTCGCATTCCAGGTTGATCATCAGTATCGTGTGAGAGTAGCACAAAAATTTTAAGGTTGTTTCCTTGACTCCGCTCTCTTTCTGCCTTTCTATGTGTAAGGCTTTATGTCCACTATTGAGCTGCATGCTTAAATCTTAACCTCTAGATAAGTGGACCACAAAATAACGCAGCGACAGGTGATGGACCGAATGTCAGTGTGAGCTCATCCCAGCCATCCTTCTTTCGACGCATATTGCAGTCCGCCGTGACTAAGGTGAACACCAATAACGAACCGATTCTCCGTTGGATCGCCCTGAATGAAATAATGCTGATGTTTGTGTGCATTTTCATGGCCGTATCCGGTCCACGAGCAATCGTTCTACCATTCCTCTACTATCCATTTTTGAAAATGCGTTACAGTTCACGAAGGAATCCCTACTGTCGGTGAGTTTTATTCTCACTGTTCAGCAGAATCAATGATGATGTTGATTATGGATAGTTGGTTGGATACGGCAATTAGCACGTCTCGTATGTCACTTGGTCAGCTGTTCGTTTTTTGCTAGTCACTTATGCACACGTCAACGGAACTGAAGGTACGCTTATCCAACACTGAAATTCACGTAGGTTTGATTTTCGTAGCCTAAATATACATGGATGCAAAATTGCATTAGTTTATTCATGGCCGAGCGGCCAGTTTTTTTATTATTGCACTCAGACCCTCAGTTAGGCTTTTTGTCATGAAGGTGAAATTTAGGTATAGTTTAAAGTTTTTCATCTTCTTGCGTACCTTCCTGTCTATGCCATTATTTCCCTCATAAGATCGGTATCTTATAACCTCTTAACCGGATGTGGTATATTATGGACTCCTCCTAATCAAGGTTCACAAGAAGGCGGCGAGACTTACCAGAGTTTCCAAACTGATTACGTCATTTTTCACTAACATGTCGATGCGACTTTGTTTGCTGTATCAAAAGGGGCGCGATCAAAAGCTTGCATCCTGCTGTAGGAAGCAGCTTACTTACGCCTAGACAGGAGCAGTCGGGAAGCCAAAGGTGGTTTCGAACTACGGGTCCTTTTGTCTATAACTTTGTCCTTGAACCGCTGAGTAATCCTTTGGAAACTTACTATAGAGTGCATATCTACGTTGCCTGGCGTGAGTGTTCTAATCCATTAATCCACTACTTAGAGCTGACTCGAACCGCATATATGCCACGTAGATTGCAAATTAGTCAAGAATAGAGGACTCTGAATATAAGGCTGGTGATGGGGAAAATTCCCCTCGGCAATGCATCTGGCGATTTATTGTCTCTATTACAGCTGTATCCCAAGTCCAATTCTGTCGCATTCAACCGTCAATTTACAGCCACTTATTTGATAAAAACGTAATCAAAGAAGGGGCGCTTTAGTTGCACTCTAGGTCAGTGGTTCTCATCCTTGTGGAAGTTCAGGGTGTATGAAAGTTGTCAGACTTGACGACAGGAATCACTGGATCACTGATCTTTCCTCCGATCCACATGGTGTTCGAGTCATTCGCCACTGGTTTTCAATGCTCTTTAGCCCCTGATTTTCGCTATCTAATAACTACGGCGCTCGATCAAGTAATCCGTCACGTGACCATCACTCAAGTGATAGAGAAGTTTGACCTGCTGAAAGAACAAGTAACGAAGAGAACAGATAACTCATGCTTTCTCATACTTAGATCTAGCTTGAAATGAGTCGATTCTTTAAAGCCCGACAGGTTGCCGGTTCGCCAGTGGTTTTCCTCTGTCTCCTTGCTGTTGTTTGTAATATCTCTGAGAACTTAATTCGTGCCAAAGCCTTGTTTAGTTAGATGGGAATGAGGTCTCTGTATTTGTTCATTCCATTGTACGTTTATATGGGATAAGCTCGAGATACCTTAGTAGTTAAGGCGTGACCGGAAGATTCGTGGTTCGGACTCATCCTCAACATCTCGGCCGTCATGCTTCCTTCGGCGGCATGGCAGCTGTACACCGAAAGGATGGTACGGCTGACCACCTTCTTTTCTATGAGCTCGAGATAGGTCACTAGTTCACACGCGGGGCTAACGACCGAAAAATCCTTGATTCGAATCCAAGCTCAGTTTACCGATTAATCCTGCTTAGGTCTGAGCAAACTGTAAGCATCCCAACGCTCACAGGTTTACCGCAGGTTTGCGCCGAATGAGTGTCATAGCTGGGCCATTGTTATTTCTCTGGATAGCCGTTGCGAATAATTGAGTTTCATTTCATCCTTGTCATGTGATGTACACCTGTTAGTTCGTATAAACATGTTTAATCGCAGACGATAGAGTAAAACCTGTATGTATGCTTTTATCGGCCCCGAAGTCCTGGGGTTGACAGCTGTCATCAGTAGCCTTTGAATTACGGATCGCGTTGACCACCATCACCGCCAGCTCTCAACTTCACACAAGTGGTTTCACTGGTCCTGACCATCATATCATTCCCACCTTATCTTGCTCGGTTTGGTTTTGGGTCAATTGATCTCCTAGACAATTTGAGCTTTGATTGAAAACTCAGGAAATTCATTTCGCGAAGTCCACTGCTGACCCTAAAAACAGAATTCGTCCGTGCGTTGCTTTTATCTCTGCTCTTGTACTTGTGCAAGCCACACTCAAAAAAATCAGCTGCAGAATTGAGTGAAGGAACGAAGTTAGCTGTAGACCACACCAGCGTTCTTCTCCTCGTATCAAATACTCTCGCAGATTTCCCAAATATTTGATAGAAAAACTGTCGCGAATTTCCGGGAAAATTTATGTCGCTCTCAATCTGCGTGCAATTGCTGCCCTCCCCGCGGTTGGTTGGTTGGTTTTCGAAATACGAAATACGACCAGCTTTTTCTGCCTAGTACTTGTGAGTAGTTTGCGTGTTATGAGAAAGACTTCGGGATGGGATGACCCATCTTACCATACGAAAAGGGGTGCATAGCTCGAAACAAATTGAGAACCGCTGCTGTTATGGTTGTGTGGGTTTCACATTCCCCTGTGATTCACCTACCTTGTCTTCATACGTTTTTACTTTCTCTATTGAAAAGTTCCGACATGCTGTCTACCCGTGTCATGTATCTAGTTGATAAAGTTGCACCCCTCATTGTGTGGTGCTGTTCACTAGTCGCCCCTGGAATTATTCAAGGTTCGCACTGCAACAGGTGGGACAATGGGTTGCTCTGCATTGGTGCTTCCAGCTGCACACCTCTGGTGGTCGGGGGTTAGTGCTGTTGGACATGTCGGGGCCAGTATTGCATTTAGCCGTCAAGCACAAACAACTGTAAGACGGGAATCAACTGACTATTGCATGTGCACGACCCCTTCGCAACGTCTATAGAATCTGAAGTGGTAGAGATCCATGACTTACTGTCTGCTGTGTTTTCCCATACCCAAACGGGTTGTAACTCTGAATCTACCAAAGACAATTTTTTGGCTTTCTAGGTTCCCCTTTATACTGAATCAGGGACTAAAACAATATTTTATTTAATGGTGATTTAAGATTCTTTGGCTCAAAATGACTTCAGTGACTTATTGTTTTTTGGCAGTGTGGTAGCTGGGGTGCGTTAATTGACTGCTGATCAGGTGACGGTTGATGCGTTTTCCGAACTTGGCGACTAGCCTGCAAACAATTCAAACGATTGGATAGTAATGTCCATCTTTAAATAGGGTGCGAATGTCGTTCTGACTCCTGTCGTAACAGTACTTTTATCATCATTGATTCCTCGTCGTCTTACTGTCACACATGGAACCTTGTCCATGAGCAACAGCAAGAGTTCGACCTGTCGGAGGGTGCCAGTTTTTCAAGCTGTCAGACGTCACAATATGTACAGAGCCTCCTTAACTTCGAGGGTGTGTTGGACTCCGTTAGTCCGTCACTTCTTCCAACCACGCCTGCTCAACAAGTGGTGCTCCAGATTACATTGAACATAACGTGCCACTTGTATTCGCAAACTCCATACGTATAGGCATGTGTGGGATGCTCTCCACAACCTGCTTCACAATATCTGTATCTCAAGAATTTTTACTCTGGTCGTAGATGAACCAACGGGATGACCTCCGGCGTTAAAGTAGTTGCTGGTAGGAGCCCAATCTATCTGGATTGCCTGGACGACATCGTTTCGATCTTTGAAGGCAAAGTAAAAGTTGTTATTCGGGCTATCCACCATCATACCGTCCTTCACCATTCACTTTTCACCCACAAAGTATAGAGTTGTGCTTCAGACTCTGTCGTCACTGAGCCTATCCACCGCGATTCAGGAAGAAGTGGAGCGCGCAATGGTTGTTGCACGCCGATGATCTGAAGAGTCTTCAGGTCGTTGAACACCGTTGTGTTCCGACCGTTGTTGGCACTAGATGGTATTTACGAATTCTCTAAGAGGTTATTCAATACGATGTTCATCTAGCGGGTATTTCGGTCAAGAAAAACACCCAGCACCATTAACCGAGCTGGCTCATCTGTATGCTTCCCGTGGCTAACCGTAGTCCAAATATTTGCCTTGGAGTGTAACAAACTGGACAGTTTACAAATACCCCAGTATTGGTACGGTCTGCTATCCCCCTCCGTGCTTGGGTGAACGCTGCGCCAATCCAGAGTCGTTTCAATATATGGCCGTTAACCGCTGACAGTTGTGTCCGCGCTGTCATCTGATGTCTTTTTTATGTTTATATTTTTGTCGTTCGCCGTAACGCCCTTTCGTTGCCTAGCTACCATGCCATCCGAAGGAGGCACAAGGGCTGAGATACTGTTGGGTTTCCTAGGCAGCAAAAGTAGTCGAAGTACCGAGGTTAGATTCGAATCACGGAGTTCATACCCTAACCACTGGGCTATCCAGATCTCCAATTTTTCTCAGTGAGTGTCTGGGAGTGTGGCACAATGATTGTGGTAACGCAACACTAAATCCCTTTGGTCTTCATCTTTCTTTTTTTTCACATTAGAGCTCCTAAAAATATCTCCGTTTGTACGGCAGTGAAGCACCAGTGTCGGCACTGATATGGTGATTAGGATGACCAAGGTTGCTTTTGAATATTATGTACTCCTGTTAGCCATATTGTGCCACAGCCCCATTATTTTTGTGTAAACTCTTTCTGTTTACATTCTGCATTAGGTAAATTTTGAAGTGTACTGCTGAATGACGCCCCAGTGCATATCGACCTCCAAAATAGCTGAGTGCCAGTTAACGGCACACAAAACCCACAGCTTTCTTTTTTTATGAGCTGAAATTTTTCATAGCTGTGCAGAACGTACATACCAGTGGCGTGTTCTAAGGCAAGCCGTAAGTAGTCATCGACCTTTGTTGAAATAGTTGTCTGCGCTTTCCGACTGGTGATATTGCGAACGACATCGTATAGATCGGCGTTCGACAACCTTATTGGTTGAACCTGTTCGGTTTCGGTCACACCTTGTCTCCATTTCAGTCTGTTTTTGTTCGTTTTGCTGACTGTCACAAGAGTTCGGAAAGCGTCACTCAATATTGTGCAGGGAGTTATTTCAATTGGCTTCATGTGTAAGCCCTTAGTTGTCGACCTTTTACCTATTCCGACGGTCAACATTTCTTTCAGTGGATCGTCTGTACTGTGAGTATGCGGAACAAACGAATATTTATCCGTTGATTTCTGTGGCTTTTGCACTATGTTTGTGCACTGAACCTAACCACTCCTCTTCCGTCAACGAATTGGATCAATATCTTAGAGCAATGTTACCCTATGACAATAAGCTCTTCAATAGGTGGTTTCGATTGCTTTCATTAAAAACTGCAGTCACCGATCGACTGCGTTCGCTTGAGAGAGGGTGTTCAAGGTACTCATAGAAATGTCGCAATCTCGGTAACTCGTACATTTGTCTGCTGTCTCACGTATAACACTGAACCTCATATGGACATAAAAAAATTTCCAAGACACCTAATGATTCACTTTTGCCATGTCTCTTTAAAACGACTGACGTGCCGCCAACGTAGCGAACCCATAAACGGAACATGCGAGTCAGTCTATTTGTGAAGTCAATTCATAAAGAACAAATGGTGTTGCATAAATTCAATACCATTGATTTTATCTTCATAGGGGTTCGGGTACTTAGCGTGTTATTAGTGTTGGTAAGTCAGTGAATGCACGTCGAACAAGTGATAGTGATTTCACCGGCCTCGGATGATACCGCACCAAAGCTTACCGGAATAGCTTCAACTCCAACTTTTTTAAATTAGATCTAGGGAATATTCCACTTGCCACAAGCCTCATCTGTGGTGTTATTAAGGTTTCCTTAACTTGTCAGTGGCACAAAGGGTCCGTAGAAACGTGCAGATGTGTCGCCAATGGTTCTTAACATGAACCAGTGATATTGCCCCAATTTTATTTTTTGAGTCAAATCGTCCAACTGTAGCTTCGGCCCACCAGGAGTCTGTTTAGATTTCGGAGATTCACTCCGTTCGCTTAATTCTGGAGAGACGTGTTCACCGCTTTCCTCTGGTAGTTGGTTTCCTTCAAGAAAACGGTGGCATTTTGCCTATCATCTAGGTTCAGTTTGTTCAAGATATCGTTTTGGTTGCTCAAAGTGTCACTTATTGCTCCATTCGTGCATCCTCCCGGGAGTGGCAGCTTCTGGGGTCGGTACCACGTTGACCTGCAATTTTTCATGTCATGTTAAAATTTAGACCACTTTCCAGTATTTTGAATTAATCATACCCTGCTACTGTCAGCAGTACATGTGGCTCGATTACTAATAACAACCAGACTGATAGCTTGGCGTTCATTACATTTCTCAGCAAATTACCTAAAAGAAACTGTCTCAGTCGGGTTTGGAATAACTTGTACGCAACTCTGTCTTGTTCTCTGGAACTGGCCATACAAACTGACTTGTCTTGTCATAACTCGAAAAAGGTCACTATTTTTTGCCCCTTGAAGGTGATTCAGTAGGTTATATAAGTAGTACATTAGCTTCCTTTCACAACGTGCAACTCTGTGGCAGTTGCTTCGATCGGTCTGTATGGAATTGATTGATTTTTGTAGTTGCCAAGGCCTCTTTGATAAAATTGCATACCTGTCGTGATAATTTTTGCACCGCGTGCATTGTGATCAGCCAAGCATTCTCGTTTCAACTTCATCATTTTGTGCTACTACTTTTATTTGACGGCGAGTTGCTTGTATTCGTGTTTTTTATTTGTTCTTTCTCATACTGGTCTTATAACCTAGCACCAATTGAGTCGCTACCGCTAGTTGTTTTATTTGACACACCCTTCTTTCTGCATTTCAACTTTCAGGATTGCATTTTCCGAGTTACGCGTCAGTTTACAAGCACTAGCTTACCATCCCAAGTGTCCGGGTTTTCTCTCGCGTCTGATCAATGGACTAATTCAGCTGGTTTGCCGCCTTTCTCCATCAGGCCATTAATCTGATATCATCTTCATGTGTTGAGTGATCAAGGCGCTGAACAGGTGAGTTTCCGTTCCCTTATGTAGCACCCATGGTTTCGGTGCAGTTGTTACCCGGATTGCATTCTGACTGATACCGGTGTCACACTTTTACTGCGGTAAAATTTACTCCACACCATCAATCAGCATGAACGCAATCCTATTTACGAAGCCTTCGTGATCCAGTCACTTTTTCGATCTGTTTTAAATGGGTGGTAAGGCAGTTCAAGCCACCACATTTGTGCTCGCGGTCTGAACATAGAAGTTGCAGATTACCGCCACCTTATCACTTTTCTGCTTCCATAACCCAATTCTCTGGATTCCAGTCTTTCCCTTAAACGCTGGGTTGGCACGCCTAGATTGCATATACATATATGCATATATATATGCATATATATATATATATATATATATATGCATTTCGACTTTTGTCTAGGCTTGGGCAACCTGGCAGTATCTCAGCCCATGTGCTTCCTTCCGGTGGCATGGCGATTGGGCACCGAAAGGGCGTTACAGCCCTTCTCAATCCAATTTCAATCATTTCGAGGCATCGTTAGTTGACTTGGCCCTCCTATCTTACTCCCTCGTCACATTATGAAGATTTTTGTCTGCTAAAGCTAGACATTAAGCTAATTTCGTAGTGTAGAAGTATTGCTAAGGTGCATTCGTCGGTAGTTGATCATGTGGCTCTTGATCTGGTTCTCGAGCTCGGCAATTGATTTGCAGACATTTCGCCACCATTTGACGAAACATCATGATCATAACCACCCAAAAGCGCGCTGATGATGTCTCCTCTAATGGTAATCAAACGTCTCCAAGTCAGTATCCAAGCTCAGCGAACAGATCAATCGTCACCTGATCAATTACTAATGAAGCTCATTTCCCCCGCGTGTCCTATCTGCATATCCACTCTTGTGCGTCGTGTTGTAGATATTTTTTCACCTACACAGATGTCACACCAGCAAGCTCTTGCGGGCGAACTAGGTATGCCTTTAAACATACCTGCATTTCCGTATTCGTTGTTATCCCGGTTCTTCTTTTACATATTGTATTGCAACACATTGTGTATTGCTCTATACCTTATTGTGTTGTCCTTAGTGATGATTTACTGTGTTCTGTTGCATTATACCCAGGCCTATTTCGTGTATCCATGTACAAAAGCCCCACACTATGGCTCCAGTTGCTCCGAAGTGTTGAGCCCACAGTGGTGACTATCAGTGTACAGACCTAGTTGAATGATGGTTAACTCCAGTTGGCCATAACTGCTTGCCTAGGATTCAACCCCTGAATGGTGCGGTTTACTAGATAGTCCTTTGCATGCATGGTGGACCCCAGCTTTACAGTTGTACCCAATTGAATTGACAGTAATGGGCTGTTAGTTAAGCACGTTGGTATCTTTAGACCTGCCTCCTCCTGCCTCTCGGATTCAGGGATTCAGCTGGATGCGCACGCGACTCAGTGCCAACCAATTGTCTCACTACTCGTATGTGGATGTCCATTCGCGTAGTTCGTTGTGATAGGCTGATTTGGAAACAGGTACAAGCGCACCGTTTACATATTCGAAATTTGAGCTATTCCGTTTCTGGCTCGTTGGCTCTCTATGATACCATGATTCTGATTTTGACAGCTTTTTTGTACAGGAGCGTTACGGAAATACACAAATCAATGGTGTAACAATACTATACATACGACGTTATTGTTCACTTTTGCAACTTTCTGGGTGGTCTTTACGTGAAAACACCAATCACTGCCCGTGTGTTTGGCTCCATTTGACATACGAACCACCGAGTTGACGGTGGCTCCTTTTGGTTCTCTTTTTACCTGACGTTGAGTGAGAGCCCCAGGCAAACGCTCACCTTACCTCCCGACTGGCTGTTCGTTCGTAAGGCCACTTCCCTTCGTCGCTTCGCAATCCTTACTTTACCTGAGAGCTTGAACAACAGTCAGCTAACTATTGTAACAGGAGTGTCATCTTTTTTCCGCTTTGTGAGTTAAAAAAACTGTTGGTGTTCGAACAAAGCAACACATATCTGTTCCACTTGAAGTGTCGATATTCTTCTCTGTAGCTAACTGCAATTATGCTGATTGTCAGTGCATTTGAGGCCTCCAGTTTCAAAATAGTTGTGGACTTTTCAAGTTTCGCGTTATCCCATCCATAAAAGTGCCATTTAGTCTGTATAGTTTTGCCAACACTGCTTTGATTTTGATCAGGTTGCGAAACTCGCGAACTTTTCTAAATTGGCCTATGACTTGACATGTGTTACTACGACAAAATCACAACACTAATAACCCCTTAATTCATCCTTTATAATTCATTTCAGGCTGTTTTCAAATCCCACGTGTGATCCAAAGCAATCATCCCATATGTGCAGTGTCACTCTCTCTGTTTTAAGCCCACTCCCCACTAGCAACCTCACACATTTCAACTCCACCTCTTTTCAACCTAAATTGGACCATTCAGTTTCATCTCTCAGCACCCCCTTAGCATCTTGTTGTCTCTCTTGTTACAGGTTCTCTAATCCGCTCATATGCTTGTGATTTGTTTCCGTTTTTCATCTTCATGCACATTACCGCTCTGCTATTATATGCTCCATGTCACTGCAGCCCTGGTTGTTTCCGTCCAGGTAAACTGCTCGCCGTTCCGTCTTTGTTACCTGTTTTGTGGTGTATTTCCTGTCATTGCACACAACAACTGTCTCACACGTCTCTGGATTATCACATCTGCTATGTAGCCTCCGGTACTCTCACATTCCTCCCGGAAGAGATGGTCATCATCTATCCTCCACCCATTTTAGTCGTAAAACCGTAGATAGCTGGTCGGCTTTTTCCGGACAGTTTGTCGAATAGTTATTGAATAGATGACAGTCCTCGGTCGCTGGGTGTACAAATGTACAAAACGTGGTAGGGCTGCGTGGGCACAGAGAAAATCAAAATAAGACTTCTAATGCCACAAATGCCGGCCGAAAGACTACGGACAGTGCAACTACCCTGACTCGCAGTTACGTTCTTTTAACAGTGGAGCCTTGTTGCACTGCTCCTTCGTCTGTCTGCTTCACAAGGCCTTACGTTTGATCAGATCAGGTATTTCCAAACGAAACATGCCATACTCTCACGTGTTCCCTCATCCGATTCAAGTCTTTGCATCCCTGTGCTCTCGTAAGGTATGTTTTTTTGGGGGAATCATGGCTTTTACAGCAGAAATTATTCCCGTTGCTTGATTAGAGTCACTGTTCAGACGGAAAAAATCGACAGCTTGGGATATGAGATGTCACTGACGCCTGCCTTTTATCCTCATAATCACCAGTTGCTCTAAACAGTGAACCGGTCAGTTTAGTTGTTTCGACTTGTGTTTTCGTAAATATGGGTTATATAAGGAGACCGATCTTTGTGGCTCATTCTTAAGTGCTTCCGGGGTAATGACAATACAATCGGCCGTTCTACGGGTAAAATTTAAGGAACCTGCGGGACAGATCAAAACAAGAATAAAATCTGCTCCGATATATGGAATGTCCTGATGCATCCATACGGTATCCGATTCATACCGTTCATTTTAACGAGTTTATCACTGATCTAAACCCATCGAGTACGTTGGACCTATCCAAGGTTGAACTGTGTAGTCGGTGTAATTCAAAGACAGGCTGAACAACTGACCCGATATCCCACCACCTGTGCCGTCCAAAGAATGCACTGACATCCTAATTGTAATGGTAGACCTTGTTCGACCGGAGGTGCTACTGTGAGACTACCGACAGCCCGAAGTTGGCAAAGTCAAAACCGTTTACAAAGAAAAGGTCACTAGGTTCCGATCAATCACTTACCCAGTCGGACTACTACTATAGCGTATCACATACGAGAATGATCCTGAGCTCATATTTTTTACAGCAGAATGCTTGTATTTTAGCAAGTAATCTTCTAGACTGTTGCCTCGTTCAGTTTTGTCTGGGCATTTCATTTTTGCCTGATATCTCCGTTTTCACATTTTTTCCTTGCCTCATAATGATTCCGATGATGTTGAGTTTGAGAACGAGGGGGCAGCAGGTGCTGATGGTTCCATCGTATGCAGCTCCGGTTTATTCGCTTTTGATCTTTGTGTTGGCACTGTTACTTTTCAGTACCCAGTTTATTAGTGTAGATATCGTATTTCACAAGCAAGAGGACGGACTGTGACTCACTACACGGAGACTGGCTTCCGGATGTCCGGTCGGAGTTCCCCTCCGTGTACTTCCTCGGCAGGTAGCTAAGTATCATTTAGCTATTTCAGTGGTTTCTCAAATAGTCATGAAAGGGCAGCAGTGTTTCTAGAACGTTCCCCCAGAGCGGCACTGCTGTTCACTCAGAAATGCAATTGTCTGATCCATGAGCTTATCGGACAGTGAGTGCGTGCGCCAGCCGCCAAATGACAAACATCCTGAAGATCATAAGCCTTCGAAAACATTGTTCCTAGAGTGAGGTTTGCCGCGAACCGGTACACAGGATCGAGGCTTCCGCCCATGCTTTCTGGGTCGGGTTTGCTATCGTTCGTTCCCCAAGAGGAAAGTGTAGCAGTGTTCTTTAGTTCTCAGCGCAGGGCAATCCAATTGCCGTCGTGAGGACTAGACCTGAATTGAGCACCAGATGTAGCATGAAGAACCATCCCAGGAAGGTTATTCCACGCACCAAATGCCGGAAATGAGAAAAAGTGTTGCTTGTAGAGGTGTGCGCTCTGTGCATGAAAGCCTCGTTAACATGCCCTCGTCGTGTGTTTGTTGGTCAACGGTGAAAAACTCGTTGGTCAAACGTAGTTCGAACAGGGTTTAAGTAAGTATCAGGTATCCTTAGAGTCGTCGACACTCCCAGGGGACGCGCTTTTTAATCGACTAATTTATGACCTGTAGCAGTTTTCGTAGTAGCTCGCTAGACATGCTCAATGAGGGTTACGTCTTTCTTGCGTCCTGTGGAGACAACTTGATTGACGTATTCAAGAAGCTGTCTGATGTAGACGTCAAAGAAGTCCATGCGAGTGAATCTGGGTGACCGGTGACGAAGAAAAGCAGGTTGAGTCTATTTTCCTCTGTGACGTTTTGTCTTGAGCTAGCGTAGAATGTTTCCTTGATTCGTGTTTGTGGAGCAGTGGGATATTCGGGACCTGATCAAATGCCTCTGAGAAGTGGAAAAATCCAGCATCCGTTATGAGTCCTTCGTAATTAACTAGGATTAAGCTGTCCATAACTTCGAGCATGTTTGTTACGCAAGAATAGCCTCGGATGATTCCTTCTTGCACTTTGGGTATTAGGTTGTTAGCGGTAAGGTGATTTAGATCGTTCACTTCAGAGTGCGTCCCATCACCTTGCGTGGTACGCTGGTGAACGAAATTCCAAGATGATCAAATTTCTGTACGACCGTCCCGTAAATCGACAGCCATCCAAAGAGATTTGGTTACCTGCAGCACCCTCCTTAAAAATGAGCCCCTTCGCGTGTAGTGCAACAGAGTTTAGCCGATGGATTCGGCATGGGTCCTGCCGCTAAGGACGTCTACAACCACCACTGGATATATGCACCTACCCTATTGACTGAGTGACGCATAAGTGGGATTTGACATTTTATAAGTTTATGTCAGTCTCATAGGTCAACCAGATTCTTATTTCTGTGTTGTGCATGCAACATAAGCATTGGTTAGTTCAGCGAATAGAGTAGGTTTCAATGATTGAGGTATAATTATCAGCTCACTATATACATCGCTAGCCTTAATCAATCAGGCAGATCATCGAGGAGGATTTTGGAAAGCCTGTTATTTTTTGCCATTTGTAATGGAGAGCTCTGCTGCCATTAGCCGGCCCGATTGCTTCCGAAGCTATATCAAGCGGTTTACCAGAAACTCTGCCTGCGTGCACACGTCACCTGTAACTGATGACAACATTTCACCTTCCATCCATTTAGCGGAATACTGTGAGTATACTTGATATGCTACAAACCTTAAGTTCTTTGGGTCTCGAGCGAGTTAAAAGAAGTCAATGGGCGTTTCTACCACAGTTATTAGCCGGAAGAACACCTATTAAGGTATGTCGACACACTTTTCGTACCCGTCTAATCAGTTAGAGGATACCACCCTAAAATTAAGAACAATCCTGAACGTTTTCCTTACTTCGCATAGGTTAGTGCGCTGAACTTGTGGTACGTTTCACAAACTGTTGTAATTCGAGATCCACCTACAACTTTTGTCCATTTTTAACGATTCACATTTTCCGATTAGTAGTAATGCCATGCTGATCCTAAGACGCACGCCCTAATTTCCTCTGAAACCATAATTTGAACGGAAGAAAATGTCACAAATAATTTGAATTTGGCAGTATTTTTCTAAAAATGAGAATCCTCCCAGACACGCGCTATTGCTAAAATTCGTTTAGGCGCACTCAAAATCTACGTTGGGCCCAGAATTCGTGTTTTCGGTGACTGTCATATTCCATCATGATATCTCCGTGAAGACAGTGAGGGCTCGTATAAAGTTGGCTTTTTCACAAGCATTCTGTATCGCCTTTGGAAACATGAAAGAGTACATGACCAATAATTACGTGGTCCTTATCCGCGTAAACTCAAAATGGAGCAGCCATCCGCGACCTATGTAGGAGAAAGCTTTCTGTTGTCGTAGTAGGCGTCCCGTCAGAAGAAGCCGAGTTATTCGTTACAGCTGGTAGGTTTGATGGAGTTCTTATAATAGCTAGCGCACGCTCTATCGGATACACTGCCACACTGTATCTTCACCAGTGTAGTGACTCCTTGATAGTGCCCTGGTAGGAACTAGTGTGTTTATGGGTAGAATGAGCACGTGGTACAATGGAAGACCAGCAGTTTGGATTACTGGTACAAGATCACCAGATTGGAACTAATTTCGGGCGCATGTAACCCGCTTGGTCGATGACTAGCGGAGAAAGAGTGAACTATGGGCAAGCGGTTAGACTTGGGATGGCAGCCACAATAACGCCATTGTAATATACCGTTTGGATTCGTGGATAACTGCGTACATGAGCATCTTGGTTAAGCCAGATGGGCTTGTCAGGATAGCCTGGTTTAGCCAAAGAGTTGTGACAAACTTAGGCCAGCATTGAAAAGTGGTATTATTGTGTCCATCGATGAGCCGCGTGGTTTACTGCTGCCATTCAGACAGGTACATCTAAATTGGGAAGCGAAAATCGAGAGAAAAATTGTCAAAAAGATCCACCAGATGGGGTGGGTTACGAGATGGCTGGCTGCCAAGAGTGGCCACGGTTTCCAACTATCTACTGAGGCGACACTGCTCAACTCTCAAAAGGACAATCGACATTTAGGTTGAGATTGTAGGGAACGGCGGTGTGCGATCGATGAGGGCGGATGTGGCCGTAGGTGGATAAGATGGAAGTACATTTGCCAAGTTGTGCAAACCTGATGTCATAGCTAGCTGTGTAATCATCCACATCATCATCAACTCCTGGGACAAGAGTTACGGAGGCGGTGAACATGGTACGGAAAAGTGGGCGAATGTCTGGGGCTTGATAGTGACCGAAAGCTCAATGAGGTAGTACGAATGTGTGTAGGCTGGCAAGGCACATTTAGAGATGCATTATGGGGGGTCACTGTCCACCAGCTGCTTACAGGACAAAAAGCTGATAGGAAGGATTTTGGTGAAGCATGGTACTTATATGTATGTTGAGTAATATTGCATGGCAAAATAAGATGAAGCAAACCTTGCAGCCCCCAGTTAGGTAGCCATCTTTATCAGAAACAGCCAGATCGTAAAATGTGTGGCTGTCTCAGTAGCTCACTTATTTGCATGGTTATGGAGGTGAAGATTGGCGGCATACTTCGTCTTGAGAGGTCAATCTGATGGGGCCTAGTGCCATATAAAAGGCGTTTTATGTGTTTCTGAAATGAGGAATCTTTGCAGCTGCGACCGGATGCTGTAGATCACAAGAATGTCAGTTTACAACCACAATCGTAAGAACTGATAATCGGTGTCAATGGAAGGGGTCCTTATTTGGAGTTGAGTATGGGATGCCTACAAATTATGATCGGGAAGGAGCTGTTTTTCCTGTCAAGCCACAGGTTGTTGATGGCGTCAAGCAAAATTGGAGTGGATATAGGACTTAGCAGTCCAAAGGAGCTAATTTGACATCGATTCACACCCACTGATAAGGTTGTTGCTGTGGCTATATCCTCATTGGCCACGAAAATGAAAAATCGAAAGGTTGTGGTAATAGTGATATTCCTTAAAATCGCAGTTGCAGCGCATATAAACCAAATTAAGGTTGTATTTATTATTAAAATCCTACGGAGCCTTCCATGGCCTCATAGGTTACAAAATTGAGGAATCAAAAAGTTGTGGTAATAGTGATATTCGTCTTCCAGGGTTTTTTTTCTTAAAGAACATCAAAGAAAGCCAACATATGCAAAAGTGCGATTTCGTGTTTTATGTCGCGTAAACCGGTAACAAGATGCAAATCGGTGACAGCCCAAGACCTTAAACATCTGCTCACTTAAACAAAATCCCACATGCAACGTGTGACCGGCAGATCTAAATGGATTATCTAACCCGCTGTCAAACTCACAACTTCTAAAACGCTATAGTTTCGGCGAAAATAATTTGCGTGTGCAAACAGCCAACGGCGTGGCCTCGGAATTGGCCAAGAAATCACCTGGTGGTCAATTCCTATTTTCTTCAGCGCAGCCATAAATTGGCTGTGTTTTCGTACAGTCGGGTTCTGGTTAAGTGATGGCCCATCTGAGAGAAGGTGGGCACCTGCAGGGCCCTTCTGAAATATGGAAAGCCATTGTGTGTGGTGCAGCAGTTTTTGGTTGATGAAGTTGGCAAGATACCAAAAAGGATTTGGGCATCTGGGTTTCCTCAAACTTGTCCTTCTCACTGCAACATGAGAAATCGTCCCAAAATGCATTCGCCATTTTACGGATGATCCGACGCACCTCCTCCCGTATTACTCGCACGGACTTCCAAATACTCTATGGGGCCTACGTCAGACCTCTCCTGGAGTACGTCAACCAAGCTACCTACTCAGGACGCAAGAAAGACATCACCCTCATTGAGCGCGTCCAGCGAGCCGCCACGAGAATGGTTGCCGGCCTCAAGTCCGTGGACCACGAAACGCGTCTCGCGATGCTTGATCTCTTTCCCCTGGAGTACCGTCGCCTCCGAGGGGACTTAATTCTTACTCATGCCCTGTTTGAACAAAGCTTGGCGAACAGGTTTTTACCGTCGACCCAGCGAACACACGGTGGGGCCATGGTAAGAATATTTTCAAGCTCAGCGCACACACACTCATTAGAAATAATTTTTATCACCTCGGGTAGCAGCTGCGTAGAATGACCTTACTCCGATGGTTATCCACGCTCCTAATAGAACCTAGTTTAAAGCACTATTAGACATTTATTTATGCGAATCCTCGTGCTGGCAAGCATACTGCCCGCGCTGAGAACATAAAGAGCTGTGCTACACCGTTTTGTACCTTTCATGTGAACGATAGCCACTGACCGACAAGAACAAAAGCGACCCGGGAAACTTAGGCAAAAGCCTCGATCCTGTGTATCATTCCCTGAATCCGTGAACTAGTGGTAAGTTTCCGACAACCCAACTTCCGGCTAGTAAATTTGTGCTCATCGCACCTAGTTATCTTGCCCCTGAGATGATCGGACTCATCAATCCTAACTGATGGCCTCACAAGAAGGGGGTTATTAGTGAGCTGGGGCTGTATGACTGGTAATTACCTCAGCTCAGTTATCGGTTTGAGCCTCCCAAGCTGATGTGCAGGTCAATACAACCGCCAAAATTGCACAAGGTATATTAAAGTCCAAGACCAAATGCTGGGTTTCAAAGGAGCTACACACAGTTTTAATAGATTCTCAGTGAATCTAGTCAACTGAGTGCAGTAACGGTATTTTCCTCAGCATAGTTCTCGGTCTGAGCCTCCCAAGCTAGCGTTCATGTCAAAACAACCACCAAGGGTGCATAGGGTACATTAACGCCCGAAGTCAGGAACACTTGTACAGCGTTACATATATATATATATATATATAGCGTAGTGGCAACAATTTTTTGCAAATTCTGACTCATTCATGCGCGGTATTGGCAACCGACATTCGGCCAATATCGGGTCCTGATTGGCTGTTGGGTTCAGATTTCCAACTAATCAGATATCGGCTTGATGCCGGACCGGCAAGCGTCCCGAATTTTCGGTCATTCTTTCTTTGGGTAGGCTTCTCGGCCGTAGCAGCACCTCACTACGAGCAGTGAAACGGGAGCCGTGTGTAATTCCGCATAACAGGGGCGAAGGCAGAAAGTAGTATGTACATTAGAAAGAAGAAAGCACGAGTATTTATTCGCTTTCCTAGGGGAACGCGTCAGTTGATGCAAAGGTAATCAAGCCACCACCTGCAAAATGTCACTGTTGCTCAACCATATCGAATTTAGTTGGTTGATAAAGTCTCAAAACTCGACGGACACCGTGATGATTTGGCTGACGACTGGAGAAAGGCAAAAGGAGTCATGATGAAAGCTTTTAAAGCTGCCAACCCGAAGACGCTAGCACCCATAAACACTAGGTTTCGTCACAATCGGCAGTTTTGCTTGAAGCCAGGGAAAATATACTGACAACAAATGGCCGTGATGGTGCGAGCACATCCTTCGTCACCGAATAATAAAGAGTTTAAGGAATAGCAGAGCGCTGATAGATCGGGAGAGCCCAAAAATGGACAGAGCTTTTGCTAGTGCTCTGGTTGTGACTTAATTGACTTGATTATCAGAAGATAACAAGCGCTAACAAATGTCTATCTTGCTAGAATGTGATGAATACAGTAGTTAGGTGCACTTGATAAAAATAGATACATTGCGAGAAGTGGACTAAGCTAAAAAGTGACTTATCGTTTGAGGACACTCGTTCAGAGTTCCTGAGTGAAGTTCCGGATGCGGGACGTGTCTTCTCTGCAGTATAGCTGCTACATGTGTTACGTAGTTGTCCGTGGAGACTTGCGGAGCTCTGTTGACTTCTTGTCCTGTGCGCCCGAGTGTGTGTTGACCCTAGTTGTATGCCTATTTATTGTTTGCAGGGGGGCGAGATGGCCGACATGGTTAGAACGCGAATTTGCTGACCGGAAGGTCCGTGGTTCGAACCCGACCTCTGCCCCTCAACTTCCGCTGTCTGGGCTTGGGCAACCTTCTGGTGGCATGGCAGTTAGGCACAGAAAGGGTGCTACAGATGAACGATTTTTGTGTGCAGTGTGAAGAGAGAGGTGTCCCTTCATGTTTGATGCTTGCACAAACATGAACACAACTTGGCATGATGTGTTGAAGTTCATAAGCCTGGCGTGTCACGCAAGTGATAGCCGCTAAAGCAAGAATGGATGACAATTTGTGGTGTACACTTTGTCGTCTTCGGTTGGAAGTGAAACAGGAATTGTCACGTGGTTTGAGTCTTGGTGACGCGTGATCTGATGAGTGACCTCCACACTTTGCAATGGGGAACAATCTCACCCTGTCCTAGCTACTCTGACTGACTTCTCCGAATGGAGTGGATTTTAGTAAGACGATGTCAAAAAAGGATGGGACTTGTGTCCATTTACAGAAAAGTCCTCGTCGACGGTGTTTTCACTTTGAACAACAGTTCAACTTGGCTGCGTCATTTCAACCTTTGGAAGGACTAACTGCATCTGAATAGGACTTTGACATTAGTCTGCCGTCGAAGATGGACGTCTAACTTGCAATCCCATTACTTCAGTGCAAAACACCAGACAGTTCACAACCCTGCACTCTTCAAAGGTGATGAGTTCGTCGGGGCTGACCTAACGACTCTGCTACAAAGTGTCTGGAATTAGGACAAACTTCACATAATATAGTGCCTTCACTATGATTCCTGTGTTTAGAAGGGACGCAAGGATATCGTGCGTAAACCGGGTCATCAGCTTAGTGGCTGTGGCTTCTAAGGTGTTCTCTGGCATCATTTTGTGCAAGTTTATCCGTCATGGGGGGGTCAGATTCGTGGCCGGGGTTACATCGGTGTTGGAACTGCATCAACCCTCACGACGACCAACAATAGTAGCATTTTCGGTCACAAATCTACGTTTAACTCGTCCGTCCGAAACTGGCAGTGTATGGCGACAAAAGTTGACCCTTTTAAACTTTAGTCTCACAAAAGCTCCATATGCCTCCTCTCGCCGACGCGTACGTGTCTGCGACGGATATTCTCCCGAGTCAACCACATCTAGTGGTATCATCTAAGGATGTCCTCTGTCGGCCTTTCTCTTTGACTCAATAGTCTGTATGCTGCTTGCATATTCTTTGCCTGCCTGTAAAACCTTGGGAATCGAAATACTACCAAGACGTCCGCTCATGGATATTCAGTACACCGACGATATTGCTATTCTTCATTGAGACATTTCAAAGTGCAAACTATTCTAAATGACCTAAATAATTCTAAACAATTCTGTCTGCCCTGTGTACCTGTAAAGTGTAAATTGCTGCTGCAGGACTGTGTGGGACCAGATACAAACCTCGTGATTTCATGTGAACCGACTGACGTAGTGAATAAGCTCGTCTCTCTGGGCAGCTGCTTAAGTCCCGATGGACTAACGAAAGATGAAATCACCCCCGGAACGAGAAAGGCTAGGGTGGGTCTGCTAACCTCCGATATGTGTAGCGCCAACATGACACTAGCTTGGCTGACAGGGGTAGTGTAAAATGCTGCGGTCAGGTCGTTTTTACTCTACATATCAGGGACGGGGTCACTGGGTGTGGAAGATTTGTGGGGAATGTCTTTGAGCATCGATGCCTCCGAAGCGTTGTACGCGTCTGGTGGGAATATGTCACTAATCCTAAGGCACGCCAGACGATATTTTGGAAATCCCACTGTCAGCTGATCCACTCCACAGGATACGCTGTTTAGGCCATATACTTCGTATGCCAAAAGACCGTTTCACTCGTACAGCCTCCTCCGCCTAGCTTTACGTCGGATGGAGATGACCCGGGAGCGGTCATTCCATGAGCTGGCAACGAAGCTTATCCCGGGGCAATACTTTCGGGACTAAGAAGTATCCTTTGAGTGGCTCCTGTCGCTACCGAAAATTCGGTTTATGTTAACCAAACCCATAAAATTGATGAGGTAAATTGTAGGGATATCCAGACAGCTAGTTAACCATTGGTGGTCTTCGTTAAGCGCTTCTTGAGTGCGTCGCATTCCTGTGCCTGCCCGAACAACCCGCGATCGTCGGCTGTCAGACCCTATAAAGGCTTTGTATTTATTGCGAAAAATCGAGCCGCCGATTTTGGGCCGGTAATGTCTTTTTGGCCCCTGGGCTTGCCCAAATTGGTCTTATTTTTATCTGTTTATGTTCGTTTCAGAGGCGGAGATTTTGCACAGTTTGGCCACAGCATGATGGTTTCTATCCACGAAGTGGACGTCAAGAAGCTTGGTCTCTCGGGAACATCGGACAAGCTAGTAAATACAGACCCTGAATTCGGTATTTCCGAGTTCACACCATATGCCGTGCAGTCGCTGAATGATGCCATTCTTCAAATATCCTCTGATGTCTTGTTTTCGAACTTACTGTCTGAAGACGACCGGAAGTTCCTCGTCGATTTTCAGCGGATTAGTGGTGAGGATTTAATTACTTCAATTAGATATCTACCCAGAAAAGGCTCAGCTACTGTCCACTCGCTTATTTGGTCGTGTCCAAACTTTCTTTGAAAAAGGCGACTTTCAAAAGTTGGTAGACAACGTGCCGGTTGATACAATTCTGAATGAGCTCGTTTCAGCCGGTTTTCTTTCCACAAGCATGTGCCAACTATTGATCAGGTTATTTTTCTCAGGTTTAGATGGCCTTCCTTCCAGTGAAATAATTGCCTCATTAAGCAGGCAAAAATTAGAGCAGTTGGCTTCAAAATACAATATCAAAGACTGGAAGAAGATGAAAGTTCCACAGTTGGTTGTTGCTCTTCAAAAGACAGCATCTGTTTCGCCACTGGGGGCATTTTTTGGGAAACAAATGGACATGGAAAGCCTGTTTCGAAGCCAGTGAGTAACTTCCATCTCCTTGTCTTTTTTCGTTTAAAGTGTTGTTTGGTTACTGCACTCATACAGCACATGGTTATCATGCAACCTCTAGCCATCGCAAAGACCAAAATACTTCTGGACCATCCAGATAAACTTCCAATATGTAAGGTATGAACTCTTATTGCGTACCTGGGTCATTTAGGGTCCGTTGGCAACTATTCCATGTATACCTCGATCTAGTAGCTGAAACTGAAATTTCGTGATGGGCTGTCACTTTCTATCCACGTCTTATCTGGGTTCTGTACAGGCGTGGATTGAAATTTGATGGTGTTTTTCACTTATTTGCCTGTGATACTACATCACTTTGTAGGATGCTTGTGTGCCTGTGGATGCACTTTAGGGAGCGTCTGGGAGGATCTGTGCGTCGCCGACTTTTTATTAATCATGAGTCTAGTGGAAAGTGCTTATCGAGGGTCCATAATTAAGAGTTAAAACGAACTAGTCAGTGCAGTCGCTTACATCATATGGGCTTCTACCTGCCCTATCATTCAGTCAACATCATCTAGACGTCGGATCTCTGATAAGACCATGGATTTGATAGAGGCCCTGACTGCAACCACAACTCAACCAGAAGCCGTGCTTTCAAACATCCGACCGAGATTCTTGGTGAATCCGAAAAACCGAAGAAACGGTGGATGACAAAAATGCTGGAAACTTGCCAAGGCTGTTCCATTTGGTTTGTTCAACTGTTCCTCGGAAGCCTCTTGTCAACGAAACTATCAGAGACCAGAAATGCTCTCTGATATCAAGCGAGGGAGGACGTTTGGAGCGCTGGACACAATACTTCGAGCAACAGTTCTTTTGGCCACCTGCTATCCCATTCCGGCAGGAAGGTAGACTGTGATTATGGAGCTCAGAAGTGTCAGAGTGTACCTCTTCACTCAAACGTCATCGTGATTTTGGCCGTGACGACGTTCCACCTGCTCTGTTCAAAGATAGTGGCGAATTCCTCAGTCAGTGCCTGTCAGTCAGCCTATTTCTGTCTACCTGGGAGAACGAGATTGTTTCGGACAGATGGTATAGGTCGACGACACTGTCCATTTTCAAAACGGGTACACGCGGTGAATGTAGCCACCGCAGGGATGCCAGTTTGACTCCCCGTTGTGATAAAGCCTCTGGCTTCACTGACTATTCATCGTTTTATGGTGGTGCACGAATCCTCTACCCATGAGCATCAAGCGATATTTCCATCGGGTAGATGCTGCGTTGGTCACATCTTCACACTCTGCGAGCTGTTAGAGCAACGTCACATGTACAGATCATCCACATTTTTGATATCCTGTCGATCGGTCGGCACTGATTACCACATTTGCTCAACGGTGTGTGCCGCAGAAGTTTGTCAGCAAAATCCGGCCCCTATAAACGCATGCTTCTGAGTGTGTGAGGATCTGGCAAGGATGTCCACTCTCCCCGTTCTTGTTCAACGTCTATGAACTAACGAGGCTAATTCCGTAAGGCCTTCTAAACGCCGTTGTTGAACTAGCTGCTGACGAAAGCCCTGTTGATCTGGAATATGTAGACGACATCATTCTCGTCTTCGATGAGGAGGTAGAGGGCGAAGCCGTTTCTGGATGAATTGACCAAGGTCATCTCGTCCTTCGACATGCGCCTTGCACACACGAAGTGTAAGACCACGCTTCTGGAAATGCTTTCACTGAGCACGCCATTTGCAATGCAGGGAGAGGAACTCCAAGTTGTGGGATGTTTCTTGTATTGTGGAAGTTGTGTTGTTCCGACTGTATTGTGACAGATGAGGTCAATGCATGAATCTTTGCTCGAGTCGTGTTTACAAATTTGAGCCACGCGTGGCGCCAAAGCGGTATATCCTTGAATCTCAAGTGTTTATGTGTGCGCCAACCTGCAGTGTTTGTTTTTTTGTGCGACTGGGAGACTTGGCCTGTTCGAGCAGCGCAACTAGGTCATCCTCATGTCTTCTACAACCGTTCTCTCAGAACAATAGCTCGTGTAGATTAGTGTCGACTAATTCGTAATGGGGCGAATAGAATGCGAGTGTTCAGTCGTGAGACGGGGACTCCCATTGAAAACTGTGTCCAGCGCTAGAATCTGCGTTGGTTAGGTCACTTATTGCGCATTCCGAACCATCGTTTGCCGAGAGGAGTGCTGTTTTCCGTGCCCGATTCAGGATGGTGGGAGCAGAGAGTGACAGTTGATAAGTGTGGAAAACACCTCATGGACTGTTGAGTCGGTAGGCGTGGTGGAAACAA